GTCTCTCAGCCGCTTGCTGTTCTGTTTATCTCTAAATCCTCTGTCCTCTCTCCGTTACCAAATCGAAAAAGGGTACCACCCCGAACTGACGAACCATTACGTGTTACTTCATTACTTCAAACTCTACTCTACAAAATATAGTAACAGCATTTGACTCTGATATTCAAATGTCATTTGGGCTGGAGAAATGTGCTGAAATTCACCTAAAGAAATAAACACATAAACTATACTAAGCTTAAAGCAAAACTTAAGGAGATGTACATAGTCGGATTGAACAAACAAATTAAGCACAAAACTGGATGCACGCAATCTGATCGCTGCTATTAACACTTATGCAATTGCAATCTATCGGAATTCTGAGGGGACTTAATAGCCTAACCCAAACAAACCTTACAAAGCACAGAATGCATTGCCTGAACATAAACAAAATAAACGTAGACATGCTAGAAGAAGGATGTTTCAAAAGCAAGATGGCAGGAAAAAGCACTGCATGGCCTAAGACGCGCTGACATACACAGACAGATGTTGTTGCTCGATATGACCAACGGAAAACTATACTCTTCAGGCGACGAATATTCTATTTTTCTTTGGAGGATAAGAAGTTGAAAGTGATAACGTTCTTCGCGTATTATACTTCTCAAAAAGGAAACATTTATTTCCTTGATGGTCGCGAAAAGTTCTCAATCTGCTAGTCCAGCTCTTCTGAGGATTTCGTCCTTTCTCACATGATCTATCCACTATACTGTCATCATTCGAGTTTATTATGGCAGTACAAGACTGAGTTGTCGCAGCTAGGAATTATAATAAAATTATAATAGGGAACCAATCTGTACACGGTGTGTGTAGAATGTGCTCTCGTAATGGTGAAACTATTGAGCATATAACTACGAAACTGATAGAACTGTAGATTACAACCGACAGGACAAACCTGCCTGCCCATTAACCTGTTACATGGAAAGAACAGAACGCGGGAAAATCAAGTAATACCAGAGCTTGTGCATCGACGTGAAATATACCTGACTGCTTGAAGAGGTCCAAGTGGCTGGTGATTTCAGTTACAGGGATAATGGCGAAAAAGCTAAAAAATTATCTATGACAACAAATCAAACTAAAAACAAAAACAGCAGATGAAGAAAAAGAGGTATACAGAAAAAATAAAGAAGAGAGAAGAGGAATTAGGCTGTGAATAAAATACAAACTTGTGCATTATAATATATAGTTATCATCACTAAACAATTCTATATTGCAACGGAATAGAGATTTTTAGTCTTCTTTATGGGTGGAATTGATAGATTAATTTTTTTTGCATAGTAAGTAAACATAAGTTTTTCATAGAGACCTTTAAAGACTTTACATTTAATTATTTGGCAGAAAAACGTTACCGAATGTCAAACACATCTCTGAAAAATGTTATCCCAACAAAGCCCTTTCAGTTTGTGAGATCCTAACAAACTTAGATACGGTAAACTTTTAATTTCAATTACAGCGAAAGTCGCCTTTTCCACCACTTATTATACCGAAAGCTACATCAAATCAGCGGATATGTACTTTAAATCTTTCTTTCGATTTCGATCAGATTTCGGTCAAAATCGCCACATGTTGTATCGAAAAATACATCTACAGTAATCTTAAACGTAAACCCTGGCTACATTTAGGAGGTTTCTTGTAATGTCGTTGAGATAATAGTTATGTTGATCAAGTGACTTAAGCATTGAACATCCATTTTTAGGTAAAGTTTAATTGTTTAATAGATTGTAGTCTATTATCAATTGTCCCAGAAGGAAGAATCTCATGGCATATCAGATTAATTCTTCTATGGTTTTGGTTAGTCAGCAGTTAACACGTCATTCTCTGAACATAATGGAATGGAGACAATTTTACAAGGATTTAGGTGAAGAGAATGACATAAATTTGAAATGAATCAATATTTATCAACTCATTAGTAATTACTATGTCCTCCGGGCAGAAAGAATAGAAAAGCTGAATGTCATCACAATAGTCCAACGATTCGTATGGTTTACAATTAGCTGCGGTGGAGACTCAATTTCCTACCAGCAATGTCGTTGTGTTTTAAACTATTTATATCTTGAAACATTAAATGTATATTCTCCTTAATTAGCTAAGCGTGAAAGAAATCTAAAAAATGAAACAAACACGTTGCGTCGTACGCATTCATTTCCCGCTATCCATAAAAATGAACTGACACTGACTTTAGAAGTAAGCTACCGATCTTGACTTATTTCGACGTCCGGCATTGTATCTATAATTATTATTGAAATAAAAAAAATCTTCCATTTTAATTTAAAGTAAAGCCTTGTTTGCCATAAATGTCAGCGAACATACAAGACGATCAGAAACCTGAAAAAAAAAAATTGTGTACGGGATGAAAACACGCGCGTACCGGAAATTCAATCGGAAAGATGATCCAATGCCACTAATACCAGAAATTCCATGGAATCTGCTAAAATAATTCAACAAATGTAGCAAAATACATGCATTTAATCCATTTTTGAATAATAATAATATTCAAGATATGTCAGAACTCTTCATAATTAAACAAAATACGTGGCGTTATAGTGACGCATATGCATAATCAACTGATTATTTTATTTTTAGCTAATTCTGATTTTAATGTAAAAAACAACTATTACATGTTATATATTTTTGAAACCATCGCGAAAAGTCCTTTCTTTTTATGAAATAAAATATGTGACTTTAAATCTACACCTTAAATCCTACAACATTTTTGCATTAAGTTTTTTTTTTCAAAAACTAGCGGTACTAACGATAGATAAACGTCAAAAGATACTTAAAGTACTACGGTATTTTATTCCAGTTGAAATTGCCAAGTTGCCATTGTTTCTGCAGTATGGATTACCACGTATTATAACGGTTCACACAAGAAAGTAATTTGTGATTGTGAAATGGCTACATTTTTTTTGCAACCCTTTAAAGTGTAACCATACAAATTTGAGAATTTTTATTGGTTTCGACGTATCACAAAAGTCATCGACTTTTTGTCATAACAAAACACTCTAGTTCAAAATATGTGTCTTGTAGAAAAATCTTTCATAATTCTAATTTTTCCGACCTAAAAAGTGCTCGTCGAAGGCCTCCCGTAAAAAAAAACTATATCATTTTTTCTTTTCGCTACATGAGCTTGTCAAGAACTTTTTCAGTTGTTCCAGCACGCGACAACAGCAATAATATACAAACTATTAGAATCTGTAATGCAGCCGAAGGAGCCACAGAAGCAACGCCTCTTATCAAATATTTTATTTTTATAAAATTTTTCTTGTTTCTTTCACGCTGAAAATTTATTGTTTAACGGTTTTTGAAAGTATTAGTTTCAAAATGCTGCAAAAAAAATCAAATCATCAAATAAAATGTGTTTGTTTCCAGTAGGATGATATTTGCAAAAACTGAGATATCATTGCATAAAATGCTACTTGCCGTCATTTCCGTTCAATGTGAAAGTGACAAAAATTGCTCGTTCAATCTCAATCAAGCGACCCAAATTTCAAATCGCGTCAAACCGTTTAAAATTTTTAAAAGCTCTCTTTTGTAGTTTTCAATAACTTTTAATAGGACATTGTATAGTATTGTAAACTTTTGAATGCATCATTTGTATCTGTGTAAACTTATTTGAATGCAAGATGTTTATTTTCAAAATATTCACAATAATAATAAGTATAACGTTGCTACATGATGCAGATAATAGAGCAATTTAACCAAATTAAATATGTATCAAAAGAATTACGCAAGTATAAAATAATATAGGAGCAGGCAACAATAAAACAATTAAAATGTACAATCAAATGGATTCAAAGAGTAAACACACAAACATCACAGACTAGTTTGAAGATCACAGACTTAGAAGAACTTAAAGTTTTATTCAAACGATCCAGCTCTGGATACTTATTGACCAGTATAACTATTCGGTGGATAAGAGTAGACAATATTATCTTTCGGTTTAACATTAATTTTATTATTATTATTAACAATCTTAGGTTTCCTATTCTGTATCTAACTTGTACTGTGTTATTATTTGCTCAAAATCCTGGCCGTATACAATACAGATTTAAGAAACTTTCTCTGAATAACCTCCATCCATTTTATATGCACTTCATAGTTAGGACGCCCAATTATAGAACCATATTTGAAAACTGATGGAATATACAAAACATAAAGTACAACTATAAATTCAGATCACGCAAATCTCGCGACATTCAATACATTTAATTACTCTCAATTACACAATTAATAACACCTCTTCTATTCATGTCTAATTTTAAATTGTCCGAATACCAATCAACAGAACGAAACTCTTTTGTAATAGTTTAGGATCCTCAGGCTATTGTACGATTCCATTACATCTAAAAAGTTTTAGATTATTTATTATATATTATTATCTACAAGCTGCAAAAATTACTTTGGGACCAAGTGTGATCCTGGTAGGACAACTAAGTCAAGCAGAGAAGAAACCCTTTAATCTAACTTGAAAGTTCTGCCTTGCCAGCAAAAGGAAAACCAAGAGTACAGAGAACCACTAACACCAAACTGCCTAAGTTTCTTCAATAAAACACCGTGATAAAGCAAATCAAAAGCACCTCATAACCTCATTTGTAATTATTGTAGACATATACTCACAGTCGATCTCTTGAAAGCCCGTTTGTGGGACTGGTAAAACGATTTCCTCAAGAACTTTGGGAATCCCCGAAAACACACAGATGTATAGTTCTTAATTTCTAATTCTAATAAATATATACATGTTACCAATGAGTGGTTACCTATGGGTAATATCCTTGGACCGCGAAAATCACTTCTATTTCATTTGTAACTCCGTCAAAATAATCAAACCCGGAAACATTATCCAGCAAAATCTCTTGTGCAGCTCTCGAGGATATTTAATAATAAAACGTTGTATAGTTTTTGGACGTGGCATTTGTAGCAGTGTAATTTATTTAAACGGTACATAAAGTACTATTTTATTGTTCTAGCGAAGTTTATAAAACTCATTCCGACGACCGCCTAGAAAATGAAGAGGCAAAAAAGTCCTTCGCCTATACGAACCCGTCGTTTTCCCTGTCGACCGACTCTTTAAAAGGAACAGCTAGCTCCGAATTCCAAGGCAGCAGTGACTTTATTTGTAAGTATTGCAATTTCTAGACCCTATCCCTAAACCAACTGTTTTTCGAGGGCTGCTCGAGCAATATTAACAGCAAGTATATAACCTCAAGAAAGCAACCTTCTCAGAAGTTCTTACGCATGCAAATGCGAAAAAGTTTAGGGGGTGGTTAAGGTTAAAGGAAAACTTACGTAATAACATGCAAAAAAACTAATTTCGATAGACAATTTCCAAACAAAAAAATTAAATGTAAAGCATCGACCCTTTGTATGTGGTATGGATCCAATTGTTGTCCTTTTAAACTTCTAATCCGAGCGTTCAAATTTCGCTTTATCGATATTACATTTTCCGAAACTTCCAGTTTCTGGCAAAAAATAATTAGTAAATCAAAACTTGGAAAAATAAATGATTATATAATGAATTTTTGATTAAATTAGTAGTATTTTCTATAATATAATAATAATAATAATAATAACAATAACCTTTATTTTTCAAATTACAAATACAATGTGTCTATAGAAAATCGTCAAAAAAAATAAAATAAAATAATAATAATCGAAGACTACAAACAGTAATTTATAAACAATGATGGAAAAAGACCAACTAAAGCACTCTTCTACTGCATACAGGTATTTATTCACTGAACGAAAATTACTGTTTAACACAAAATTGATTTATTTCGAAACACATAAACACATATAGACTATACAATGTTAAAATATATATTTTTTTAAATAGGTTTTACAAAAGGTAGATTTGGAAATACCTGCCCGGCCCTTTTCTGAACCACGAACACACTTGTCGACCATCAACACAAAATTATATCATACCTAATTCTACTCTCAACATGAGCTTAATAAACACTTGACATTTGTGATTCTGTTAAAATATCCTTCAGGTTATGTAATAAATAGATATGGGCTCCCAACCCCAATATCAAAGAAGAAATAAGTTTATAAATTCATGTTTTTATCTATGAATATTCCAAGAAACTGTACCTTATGTACCGATCACAAATCTTCAGTATTTATGTGAACCCAAATGTCTCTGCATGGCTTTTGGAATGTTTTGTCATTATTATCATTAAGCCAAGAGTTCACGTCACTCATAACCATGTTACATTTGTGTTTCAGACATGAATCACACCTACTCGTGATAGATATCTTAAAGTCATCAGGAAACTTTTCAAACGCTCTTTTCTCGAAGTTGTCCGAGCCACGCAAACTCTCTATACCGTTAATATGCAAGAGGAAAAGTACTGGTCCTAATAGAGAGCCCTGAGGGACGCCCATTATTACCATTAACCCATAAACAACTTGGTTTCTTTAAAGGTCGAAGCACCGTCAGTAATTTGGCTTGCTGGCGGGTGGATGTGCTATACACAGACTTTTCAAAAGCCTTTGACCGGGTGGACCGCACTGTACCGCTCTCTAAACTGAGGTTGCTTGGATTTTGTGATGACCTTGTGGCATTCATAAAGTCGTATCTGCATAATAGAATACAGTATGTGGAGCTCCGCGGTCACTCAACGCTTAGGTTCATGGCTAGTAGCGGAGTTCCCCAGGGTAGCAATTTAGCGCCATTGATATTCTTGCTTTTCATTAATGATATAGTAGCTAATATTGATAGTCAAACTTTGCTCTTCGCAGATGATGTGAAATTGTGTGTCTCTGCAGATTGATTTGGAGATTACTGGTTCTTGGTGTGCATCTAATAACCTACCCCTGAATACAGATAAATGTTTCGCAATGACATTTTCAAACAAAACTGATACTATAACTTTTAATTACCATCTGGATCACGTATTATTAAGAAAATGTGACAATTTCAAAGACCTGGGTCTGACACAAAACTCTCCTTCAGAAATCATGTCGATAATGCCTGTGGAAGTGCACTCAAAATGCTGGGTTTCATAGTGAGAAACTTTAAAGGTTTTGCAAGGGCACATACTTTAAAACTGTTATACTATAGTTATGTGGGCTCGAAACTAGAATGCGGTTCAGCAGTGTGGCAACCAATATTTGGCAAGTACATCACTCAAATTCTTCTGAAATTTCTTCACTTTCATATAAATGGTTTCTACCCGGCTAGGGGACTGCCACAAAGTGATTTATTGCTATGTTTAAGGTTTCCTCACTGTTGAATCGTAGGATGTACCTTTTATTTCAGTTTTTATATAAACTTTGCAATTCATTATTGGATTGCCCTGGGTTGCTGAGCCAGCTGAACTTCCATGTTCCCTAAAGGACTATAAGGGCGTCACCTGTATTTTCACCTAGTAACTCCAAGAACCAATTTTTTGATTAAGGGTGTTCCCTATCAGTTGATCAAATTATTTACTGACTTCTGCAATCATATTGACGTTTTTTGTCTTAGTCGCTCACAGTTTTCCACATTAATTAAACGTAAATTTGATATATTGTAATGAATTGTATGTTTGACTAATACTCTGCTGGAGTGTATATGTGGCAGTCAAAGTGTACATTCCAGGTAATGTATACATTTACTAGCCAATGCATACATTCACTTCCCATTTTATTGGAATGAACACTTTAGCTAGTAACTGCAGTCAAAGCGTTAATTGATGAATTTCAAAATAAAATTTAGTTTAGCGAATAATGATTATTGCACTAGAGCTAGTTATAACATAAAAATACCAAAGCACCTAACATTTATAAATAAGAAAAACACTTTATTTGTTTGAACAATTCAAACTTCCATGGCATTTGGAATTGCACATTTTTTTTGCTTTAAGGCATGCACATCTATTTGTTGTGCATTTTGTTTTCCATTGGCATTTAGAAAATCCCTGTGCGGTACCTATCGACTGTTTGGTTGCAATAGTTCGTAATGGTAATTCAATGGCATTGTCTTGAATATCATTTGGCGTTAATATATTTTCGGGACACACGCTAAACTGAGATCTGGAATATAACCCTTTTAAAATTCTATTGCGTCTTCCAATTTGAAAATAGTCATCATCCGTTTTGGTTAATAAACATCCCAATATTGCACGAGAATCTCCCCGTCCTTTATCAACTTCCGGTACCTTAATTCTTACTGTCATTCCTACCTTCGCCGGAGGATGCGAAGCATCGGAAATTAATTTCATGCGCTTAGCTTGCTTATGTAAGTTTTCTTTTGATTCTGCTCGGGCATTATTGATCTGTGATTGCACCGTGCCAATATCGCACATTTTATTACATTCCGAATTAAGTAAAATGTCACATCCATCACATTTTCGTAGGGTCACGGTAGTGTCAAGCAGTGAACAGCGCTGTTCCGTGTCATCTTGAACCACTAGCAATTCCCCGACATCTTCACTGAAGATTATATCTGATTCTAAAGCATCAAGTCGTGGAATCTCCTGGACACTTTCTTCATTACCGTTGACATTTTCAAGAATTTTCTCCAAATCTTCTTCACTGTTTTAGGTTTCCTGGTAAATTTAACCCACTTTCACTAGAAGCAGTCCGTGAACGCATACATCCACTAGCAAATGTGTTCATTTCGGTTAAAGTGAATACTTTAACTACGGAGTTTAGCAAATGTATGCATTGACTAGTAAATGTATACATTTACTAAATGAATGCTTTGACTGCAACATATATAGTTGACTACTTATTATAATTATAGTTATAGTTCTCAAGATGAAATTGTCTTCTAAATGGATGTTAATCTGTCAGACAATAAAGATTGTTATTATTATTATTATTATTATTATTATTATTATTATTATTAAATTTCAATTGAGGACCGCTTATACCATTGCAAGACATTTTCCATAACATTATGTCGCGATCTATACAATCGAATGCCCTGCTGAGGTTATAGAAGATCTCAACAGGATACTCGCCTTACTCTATATAATTAACAATACCCTCCAAGCATATTCAAACTAACTGAGCAAAGTCATATAAAGCAATAATAAAAAACGCCTCAAGAGGTGACACTAGATTTTTTTTATCTAATAATTTCTTATCTCGTTATGCATCTCATGCATATAATTGTGGCTTCGTGGTTTTATAGGTGCGGTGCTTAAATTTTGCTAGAGTAGATGATTTTTTTTAGTAATCAACGAGACGAAGAAACCGCGCACCTTTGGCGATAAAGTTAAAGCAATACTGCCGGACATAAAGCAAAAGATGGCGAAAAAATGTACGCGAAAAACGATATACAAACGCTTTCCCATTCTAAACTGGCTGCCGCAATACGATCGCCACTGCGCGGTGGGTGACTTAATAGCAGGTAAATAATAACGCTTATTCGCGTTAGAAGATAGGATTCTAATTTGCGTAATTCAAATCCGACGGTTGAAATGTCAAAAGTTTTTCTCACAATTTATTTCCGAGGCGAAAACAGGAAAACAAAATGTATATACTTAAGATGGTTTATTATATTCCTAATTACGAGATGGTTTTGTGTTGATTCTCTAATTACGGCTATTTGCAGGAATATCGGTCGGTCTGACCGTAATCCCCCAAGGCCTGGCCTATTCTAGTATAGCAGGCTTGCCAACCCAATACGGATTGTACGCTTCGTTTCTGGGATGCTTCGTCTATATTGTATTCGGAAGCTGCAAAGACGTACCGGTAGGGCCCACAGCCATATCGGCCCTTTTGACATTTCAAGCAACGAGCGGCAAGGGGGCTGAATACGCCATTTTGCTATGTTTTTTAACCGGGTTGGTGCAGCTCGTCATGGGATTTTTTGGTTTAGGTAAGCAAGTTTTCAGTCCGTCGAATTTCCAAAAACAACATATACCAAGGTTAGAGAAAAACTTTAAATACAAAAAGTGTAAGTTTCTTTGTATCTATTATCTTTTGGCAAAGTATTTATGTCATATACTTTGCCAGTATGTTTTAATTTGTTTGAATAGAATGTTTTTTCCTGATTTCAAGAATGTAAAGCTTACCTATATTATGTTTAGTTGTTTTTTTCATATCGAAGTTTAAATGTTAGAAAGAATATGGCTAAACAACATATATAATATTTCGACAGAAAAATATATTATCTTATCTCATATTTTCAGTGTTTAAGTGTACAATTCCTTTTTCATATTACATATCTATTACTACTACTATCTACTACATATATGGGGAACGTGTCGTAGTTCAAATGGGACAAGTTATTTACTACCAAAACCCTTGAGGATATGGTCAACGTGTTCCACGATATAGTTCATTTAGCTATCGATATTTACCTTCAATTAAAGAAGTTTTCGGTTAAGAAGTTTCCATTTGAGTTTTCTCCAGAGATTAAACGATATCTTGGGACCGGATTATATGCAGACTATAAGAAATTTTCAAACATAAGAGCAAAATGTAAATTTTAGAAAGTGCAGTTTTATATATCTCTGACTGAATCGTCCTTAAGAGAGAATTTTTGGAAGTTCGTTAAAAGTAAAAAGGAAAGGAACTTTATTCCATGGGTTGTGCACTTTGGCAAATTGACCTATTGTGTGGGTGAGGATATTGTCAATTTATTTGCACACTATTTTTCTAATATGTATAATGACAAGGACTGTGTCCCTGAAGATGCACTGCCTTCTGGAAACGTCAACCTTTCACACTTGAACATTTCGATTTCATCTATTTACGAGAAACTGTCGAATCTAGATAAACATAGAGGACCCGGTGCCGATGGCCTCCCACCATATCTTATTAAGATCAGATTTTGGGCATTTTAGGCGTTGTACAGTGGACTTCCAAAGTATTCCGTCTCTCAGGTTACTGTTCTGCTGTTGTGCAGCATAGGTTCCTGCGGTATATAGCATTTAAGGAGCACCTAGGACTTGAGGACGACGATTACTCGGAACTGCAAATCTCTCCAAATTCGTCACATGCATAGGGATCTCACCATTTTTTATAATCTACTGCATTCAAATTCTCATGAACCTGAGCTGTTATGTAAGATTAGGCTTCGCGTTCCTCCACGCCAGACCAAAATAAACCACTCCTTCTAGGTATCAGCCGCACTAGCAAATTGCTTTTCAGACCAACTTTTGACTGCTTCCAGAGTGCAAAAATATTTAAGAATGAACTAAAAGTGTGAACAGTGAAACTGTTTCATTGTCAGATCAGTATTGTATAATAATATGTTGATGCCTCGCTACTGTTATATATGTCGATACTGTCCTGTCGACTCCTACAGTATTATTAATATTTTGGAAAACCATTGTTTGTCACGCTAGGGTTGGGTCTTTACCTATCTATATCCATTCTGTTTTATTTTTGTTTTATTTTATTTTGTTTTTTACTATTTTGTTTTTGTGAATCTTGTTTTATATTGGGCGTTTGGCCCGTGGATAAATGAATAAATAATTGAATAATAACATTTATTATTTCTTGTACCACATAAAATGCAGAAAAAACATGATTGTGTATGGTTCAAATTGAAAAAGTACAACAAGGATAAATAAATACCAATGTATTTAAGAATAATTATTCAATCAACACAAGTTTTCTTCAATAATTTCATACAATTTTAAATAGCAACTCAATGAACAAAAGAAAATTTATTTAATAGAGAGTTGAAAACCCAACAACGTGAATTTCTACAGGGAGAGGGGAAAGAGAGGTAATGAAACTAAGCGAGAAGTAAAAATAAATAAATTTAATTTCTTTTTAAACTTATGATTCAGTTTAATTTAAACATAGTGAATTAATATGATGACAAATATTATAGGAGAACGATTTTTAAAAAATGTTTTTTTTTATTTTAGTATTTCTAATACTAAAATAAAATAAAGATATAAGAGATATGAGATATATGCCTGGAAAATTTTAGTTATGATAACTAAGCCTAAACATGTAGTGCTTTCAACAACCTGAAGCAAAATGCCACCGAAAAATCTTTTCACTAACGCTGCCCTTGGTTCCGAAAAGAATGGCCACAAATTTTGTTGGATTAAGCTTTAGCTTAGCTTTACAAACTTATTAAAATTTAATTTCATAGTATTTATTGCTGCCCTATAGTCAGAGGGCAAAAACGTACATATGATATTGACAATAAAACATCGACGAAAACGGGATGTGTACCAAACAATGTGGGCCCAATATAGTTCCTTGTAAAACTCCAGTAATTACGGGTAGACAGTTCGGCTTTAACTTTTCAGATACTGTTACCTAAAAAATATCTAGATGGCATTATAGCGTAATTGCCAAATCTTTCAAAATAAAATACTGAAAACATAAAGAATTGAATGTAAATCAATTCATAACATTGTAAATGATCTACAAAACGCAATCATACTATCTGATATGAAATTCAGGAAAACGATAAAAAATCAGTGTCTTATGGTCGATTACCAATTTATTATAAATTATATTGTTTAAAAAAGAAGTTAAATATTAAAAAAAAAAAATACCTGTAGGCCTTGATAGCTTAAGATTCTGGCTAGGTAAACCATTAGTTTGGTTAGTTTTGGATTTTGCATAGCATGTTTGTATAATTGTAAATTGTTCGTATATAATATTTATCTCTATGTTATTACTAGTTGAATTTCGCTAAAAGTGAAATATAAACTCTATATACTCATAGGATGCCATTAATATTAATTAATTTGTATATTGATGTAACATAGATGTGACTGATAATTTATTAATAACTTTAAAAAAAATGACAGATAAAAATAAACTTTTCTTCAATTAACACAACATAATAAAAAATAACTTCACTTAGTGTATTCATTTTTTTTAAGTTCTAGCTGCCACTAATTTTCTAATGATACTCTCATGCACGGATTAATCTGATGAAATGTTCGCTGAATCATATGTTATTAAAATTACAGTAATAATGTAGCACGCTCAACAATACATAAATATTAAGAAATTATTTTTAAATTGTTTAGAATATAATTATTTAATAATGATCGAAAATAGAACTGTTTGACAGCATCCGACTAAATTATTTTTCTTTCTTATTAATTGAAAACTGTAAGTTTTACTAAAAAATTTTAGATTTTTTCTGTCATTGCATAAGTTTTTCCTTAAATTTAGTATGGAAAAATATTCAGGATGTGTGATTCTATAATAGTAATACTTGTTCTATTTATTTTCATGTGTAAAATACAAAGTGGTTTGCTTTTGACCCAACATTCATTGGAAAAAGTTACCCTTTGTTTTAAATAAGGAATCACCTCCTTCACTTGCGTGCATATTTTGTTCCAAAACGACTTAAAATAATATAGGCAAACTTTATATTCTTGAAATGAGGAGAAATAATATTATAACAAAAATTAAATTACACCGAAAATTATATTTAAAACCATGCAAATTGTGCCATTTTACCGTATATATTAAATATTATATAACATACGTTCTACAGAAAGTAAATGATAAAAAATGACACTTTCTCAATCACTTGATCAAACCGTAGCTTCGTCATGAACCGATGGTAAGAGGCAATATTTCAGATAAAATAGAAAGTGTTGAAAAATGACTACAAATTTACAATACGGATCAGTTGCGATTTTATTGCCCAAAGTTTACCTACGCCTATGGCCGACGCCTAAATTGAGAGAAATTTCTCATACTCTATTTTCCAATAATTATTTTCTGTAAAACTCCTCTTTTTATTATTTGTTTTATATTGTTTTTACATTATGCTATCTTTATCAATGATTACAAAAATTGAACGCTTTGAAACAGTAATAGCAATATCAATATTTATATTCCTTAAGCTATTACCAAAGCTTGAATATTTGTTTCGTATTTTTGGATTCTAGAAATTTATTATTTGCTTATGGTGACGTGGGTTAATCAACGGTTAGAATTAGGTATAGGACATTATACACAAAATATGTCTAGAATTTTGTATAGAATTAAAAAATGACGTAATATACTAGCTGTTCCATTTAAAATGAGAAAATTGATATTCTTTTACGAAAAATTAAACACCCTGTATATACCAAATTAAAATAAATTGAAGATTTATAATACCTCAATTAACTCATTTAACTTTTGGCTCGATCCCCTATGGTTTCTGAGATAAGGTAGTGTCCCAAGATAAAGAGCACACCCTATACCCACTTATTTGCCCCATGATTCTTCATACAAGATGCTAATTTTCGTGCCATGGGATGTGTATTGTGAACCGTGTTATGTTAAATATGTTATATAAATAGAAAGGGTGATTCAATAACGGTTTCCACATTAAAATAATAAAAAAAACTCGGAAAAATATGAAAATATACAAACATTTTTATTTGCCATTTTAGATTAGTGTTTTACAATTAGGTATGAAAGATGATGTCATTCAAATGACCCCCGCGACTCATGTGGCATGACGTAATTCGTTTTTTGACACAATTCAGGTTCTATTTCGCGTCTAATCTCCTGTTTCAGCTTTGGAATAGTGTTTGGTTTATTTCTACACACTCTGCCTTTTAGATACCCCCAAAAAAAATCTAGGAGAGTAAGATCACATGATCGCGGCGGTCAATTGATATCGCCCTTACGTGAGACAATCCGACCAGGAAACTTGTCCCGCAGCAATTGCATCGTTTCTCTGGATGTGTGACAAGTGGCTCCATCCTGTTGGAACCAAAAATCTTCAATGTCCATACCTTACAACTGCTCCCAGAAAAAATCAGATATCATGTTTCGATAGCGAACACCATTAATCGTAACAGCATTATCCCCGAAAAAAAATGGCCAATTATTCCTCCGCACCAAAATGCGCACCAAACAGTCACTTTTTGAGGATACATTGCTTTT